AACAGTACATATTCTTTCAAAATCTGTAAGTATTTTAAAATTGTTGTCCTATTACTTGGACTTCAGCTTGGGAAGCAGATCAGCAGATGCGAAGATAAAAGAAGGTAGTTTCGTTGGAACTCAAATCAGGAAGTTAATAAAAGATCCAGTGTTTGAAGAAAAATGAATGATCTGGAAAAACGAGCATGGATATCTTTCAAGAAAGTTGTTTCTAGGTAATCATAAGAGTGACAACTACAGAGTGCTTGTTAGCAAGCTGTTATTGGCTTATCAAGCATTATGTTGCAACATGTCACTCAAGATTATTTTTTTAGGCTCACATCTAGATATTTTTACTGAGATTTTAGGTGCCGTGAGAGATGAGCACGGAAAAAGGTTCCACCAGGACATTTCAGAGATGGAAAAACGTTATAAGGGCAAATGGAACCACAGAATGTTGGCCGATTATTGCTGGATGATAAAAAGGGACCAATCAGAAGCTAAATATGCCAGAAAATCTAAAATTGAAATTTCATAATAGAACGTCTTTGCTTTTTTGTATCAGAAAATAATTTTTTTTTAATATTTATATTACAACAATAAATAAAATTCTTGGCCAATATTTTTTTAATAACAAATTTTTTTACTAATAGTCACCCATCAAAAATACAAATGAAGTCCATGTGGAGTGACAAAGTTCAAAATTTGTTGCCCAGTGTAATTTATGTATGTACCCATATATAGTCCCACTAAAAATCTTACTAATCTCTTTACAGCAGCCATGTATAATGCTATAGTACAAGAGGAAAATTGACTTAAGTACTTCACCGCAAAAATAATATCTGGTCTTATTGCACACGACAAATACATTAAGTAACCTATAATTTATTGATAGATCTTGTTGATTTCCCCTTTTTCCAGCTTCAGCCCGCACTCCCTAGCAGACTGCACAAGACACCTGCAATCCTGCATTCGAAATTTATTCGAAATCTTTTGTACGTAATGGCTTTGATCTAAACTAATTTTACTTTTATTCCAACATTCCACAGCCCGTTATAATCCATAAATACCCTTTTTAATCTTCCAAAGCATAGTAGGATTTTCAACGAATGCTTCTGGCTATATAATGAATCTCTAAATTTATTATAGCTAATAAAAAAGATAATTTCACAGCTGGAACAAATGTTTTAAAATAATCTTTAGCCCATTTTTGCATTGAATATAGCCATAAGTATTTGTTTTAAACTGAAAACCCCATTTGCACTTAACCACAATGTCATTTCTAGCCCGATCAACTAGTTCCCATGTAATATTTACTATCAAGGAACTGTATTCGTCTTCCATGACTTTTCGCCAAAGCTATCTATAACGTTGTTCAGTATCTTGTACAAACACATGATCAGCACAATTAAACATTTAAAAACTGTAAACCACACCTGGATCTCTAGTTAAACGTGTATCTCTCAATGAATACCTTATTTCTTGAGTCTCCAGCTCTTCTACATTATAGCCATGGTTAACATCTCTTTCATTTAATTCTAAATCTATAGCTCGCGCTTAGTGGGCCGAGACACGCAGTCAGGCTGGTGCTCGCGTCACAGTCACCCATGACTAAGGATCATGAATTGATTCCAAAACTAGTCGAGCTTTACCGATCTAATTACACGTAATTTAAACCGGTAGTTAATAAATATAATGTGTGCTTACGAAACTTTTAACAACAAGAAGAGTTTTAATTGAAGTCATGGGGAACGTAATACTAGAACCGACAAACCATACATTACTATAGCGAACATACAATAAACAGTACTTTCTGTAAAATAAAAATAATGTAAAATATGTAAAAATAAAATACATTACCTAAAGTTAAATCAAATCAAACAGTCCATTGGTCCTTCAAGATATTAATAACCATTTTGTAGTTCTGAGATATATACGAATACTCATTTCATCAGGCGCTCAATTTTAAACAACTGGAGAGAATTTAAACGTAAAATGTGGCAGTAAAATTACAAGATCTAAAGGCATAATATTTTAGTCCTCAGAAATTAAAATGATAGAAAATTATTGAAAGAAATCATGGACTCTACAGCATGTTTTGTGATGTCTATAGGTGTATAGTATATAGGTGACGCTCAATGAGAGAAATGGATTCTTCGTAATGACATATAATAAGCCCATTGCTAGCAATATACCCCATTTATTTATAGACCCATAAAATAAATTTATGTAGGTGACGTTTTCTACTTTCCGACATGTAACTCTTCAGCCTGTACTCGTATGTTCCATAAAAAAGTCAGCTTATTTTTTTATATATGAAAATGAAATGGTAACTCCGCTTGTGCTATTAATATATACTGGCGAGATGAAGGATGAAGATGAGGCCAATTCACCAAGTATTAACAAACAGTTTCCAGAGGACTTGTGAGGGAATTTATCTAACAATAACCTCCCTTAATTTTCAGATTTAACACTTGATGTTAAATGTGAAAATTCCTTAAATTTGATGTTAAATGTGAAAGTCCTTGGACTTGAAAAGGATTCTTCACATTCTTATGGTAATGGGATAATTCACTATAATACATAGTTATCTAAATTAAACAATCACAATTTTTCAAAATTTAAGGTTTAAGTAAATAAATATTATTTTTAAATATTACTATTTAAAATAAATATATTCAACTATGTACTTGTTAATTTGAGGCCTCCATTGCACTATTGTGTATAAATAAGATACCAAGATCAATTCTCAGTTGAGTCCATTTAGGAAACTACCCCCAGATGTTCGTTGCCTAGTTCCTCATATTAGAAGATATATTATTAATATAAATCAAGCACGAATAAGGGATTCCGTGCTCCAATATAATATCCATAGACATATTTAAGGGGAGGGGGCCGTGCCGATTCCAGAATTGTTTGGTACCCGCCCCAGTATTTGAATGAAGCTTAGCAAAGACATGTCTGAAAATGCATTTGAAAAGTATTCTTAAATACGCTAATGATAATATCCGGAACTATACAGAAGAGTCATAAAAAGTAACGATTTAAAAGAACTTATTACTTACTGGACTTCGCTGTGTATCATAGGTATAATTCCCATGGTGCTGTTCGCACCCATAAGAGACAATTACAACTTCCCGTAATACTTATGCAGCTAATAAGTAGCCTTTACTTATAAGAAATACGTACCTAGCAGTAGAATGTTACTTTTTTTTATACGCCTATAACTGAGAACAGTAGTGGGAAAACGGATTGATAGTAAATGGATGTAACAACCCTATTGCTAGCAAAATACCCTATCGGGTCGACTTTCACGTGGTTGCCCTTGGAAACCATCCTTGTTAATTCTTGTGGAATTTGTTACATGGGCTAGCTGACTTGCTTCCATCCTCATCTATCATCCCACACAAATGCCCCGCCAGCGTATACCGATAACGCAAGCGGGGATTACTATTATATTTTCACCCATTAAAAAAATACTGGGAACAGCTATCTATACGATCCATTTGATAGCAACTAGTAATCGTCGTCTATAACAATTGACATCACAGAATACACGTGGTCTTAAATTACATAAACGTTGCATTAGTTCGATGTGCATATTGCAAAACAAATATATGTAAACCACACTTTAAAAAACTGAAACTGTTCATAATGTCCTGTCTTTAGATATATGTATTATATTCAGGTAAATTATTTTTGATACCTTGTAGAATGACATACGCATGTACCTATATTTTGTAAAATTCGGTTTGTTTGGTTTCTGAAATTTATAACAAGTTGCCAAAATATACTCGATATATAGTGGAAATTATTAATTTTAAATAAGTTCTACATGCCCTGGAGACATCTAAATGTTACAGTACTGTAGGCTTCCTAGCTGATGTAGCACTTTCGACGTAAAATTTAAAAAAAAAAACTGGCTTATTTCAAATTAAAAACATAAATATATTTAATATTGTGTCAGTAACAGCCCAATAACAAACTAAATTTTCACCGCTTCCATCTGGACGTATTTAAAGGCAATTTCTTCCAGGCTCCATCCACACTGGAATCCATTCCCAACAGCGGTATTTCCGAACCGATATATCATAACCTTCAAGTAAACAACATATTTCTTTTGAAAAGGCCGACAGTACACCAAAAATTCCTTCAATGTTGCAGCTGTTCATGGGTAGTGGTAGTCACACCATCCGGTAAACCCCATACTTGCTTGTCTACTGTATTATAAAAAACTATAGAGTGAAACAAATATGCTATTATATTTCTACTAACCTACTAACCTATGCTCTTACTAATATAATAAAATTATTACTGGATGACGTCTGTACTTTTCCCCTCTTCTGAAATCTCTTCGTAAGAAATAGCAGACAAAAAGTTAATCCACAATAAAGATTTGAATTTGTTTGTCTGTGGTATGTACATCCTATGGTAACCCTCATACATTGGTTATGGAATCAACTTCCTGCCGAGGTTTTCCCAAAAGATTACAGCATGAGGTTCTTCAAAAGGGGAGTAAAGAGGTTTCTTCAGGGTCAGCAACGTGCGCGTAATGCCCCTGGTATTGCAGACGTTCAAAACCTACGGTAACCGCTTACCATCAGATGGACTGTATGCTTATTTGCTACCTCAGTGGTATAAAAAGATTGCCATTTTTGACCATGTCATATCATGTTACTGTCATATTTATTTTTCTCCTTCTTCCTTCCATTTATTAATTAGGTAATAATGAAAAATGTATCTTTAAAGAAAACAATAGTTTTAATTCATTCAATTATATCTATAACTATCAATATTATAAATGTCTTTTGCCTTTGGAATAGGAGAGCCGTGTTCTGTATCTGTAAAATCCTTTGTACAGTAAGTATACTCAATGACATTTCATTGCTCCTGTCTCTTCTGAAAAACTCAATAATATATATATATATATATATATATATATATATATATATATATATATATATATATATATATATATATATATATATATATATATATATATATATATATATATATAAAGTATTAATAAGCTAAACTATTCCTAAAGGCTAATTTGAAACGATGAAAACTGAAACCTAATACTTATACGTAGGCTACCTAACAGACATTATTAATACATTATATATACATACAAAAGCAAAAGATAATCACTCCAAAGATCATAGTGGCATTATTTAAGAAATAGTTCACAACAATATCATCGAAACAAATAAAACAAACAACTGAAAATGACAGTGACGCATTTACATCTGTTTGCTGCATTGTTCAAATTTCCCTCTTGTTGGTGGAGACAGCCAGTCGCGTACCTGTCTGGCAAACGCAATCGTTACAGAAACGCGGCGGTCTGCATCGGCGGGCATGCGCACTCCTAACGTATGAGCATTCGACCAGGAGGGAAGTGAGAAGGAACGGCGCTGCACGCTGCCTGCGAATGGTCGCCGACCGTCGCCGCGCCGCCCGCACCTACAGTCCTCCCGCCGCGCCGGCTCTGCACGCTCTACGCTAGCCGCATCATGGTGAGTCATTCCTAAGTGCGAAACTATTCATTTACCACGACCTTTGCAATCTATGTTCGGAACAAAATAAAACGAACTACTCTACTGGCTAAAATAAGCCGTGAAATTGACCTGTGCATTTAATAAACGCTTACTTCTTTAACTGAACAACAATTATCGTAAAAAATATCGTTTTGAACCAATTACGCGTTAAAACAATCTAATAAAAATCATGAATAGAGGCCGTGCAAAACAATCAAGGTTAAATGAAATTTAAACATTACAATCTCATACTTAATCATACATATTTCAGGTAATGGACAACCGAAAGAATGAAGATAATGAAAATGAACGTAATTCATCAATTTTTGTAACAAATTTTCAAAATGGAGAAGTTGTAAACTATTCTCTGGTTTTAATTAAAGGGATAATAACAAGAGGAAACTCCAACAATCATGATAAACTATTATGCACGATCACAAGTGACGGAATTAAAAGCAAATCTCAATGGAGTGTTTATAATGGAGAATTTAAAGTAATACTAGAACTTAAAAGAGGAGAAAACGTGATCGAGTTAGAATACGGTGAACAACAACGAAAGACCCTGCTCTTGGATTACACACCAAGGAAGACAAATCTCAGAGTCACCCCAATTTACATTATATGTCAAGGTCATGATGGATGTTTTCAAAGCCCACCTGATGTTGACAACTCAATCGAAAGTGCATGTTCTAGAATAGCAATAATCTCAAAGTTAATTCAAAGTATAACAGCTGAAAAATTATTTGAAAGTGGTGTTGGACGAAAGACGTTTCAGCTTGAACATGAGATTACTCTCAAGAAACCAGAATGTATCATTTTCCGAAGTAGCCTTAATGTTAATAAGGCAAGAAAAATGAAACAAGCAGAGTTATGGACACATTTTGGAAGAGAAATAATGCTTTCAGATTTAGGCAGCAACGAAAGAAAATTTTTAGGATTTATATCATGCACAAGATTTAAAGGGACTGACATTGATAAACCTATGACTCATGATGAAATAGTTTCCATAACTGAAGCGTATGCTGCACTAGGTGGAGGAGGACTAGCCTTATTTGGAACAGCTTGTTTATATACTTGGCCAACATGTATTGATGAAGTTGTTCCAAAATTTTTAGACTCAACACCAGTGAATACACATAGATTCATGGACGACAGCGGTTACCGTGGGACCTTAGGAGGATGTTTTGCAACTACTTTGGGTTCAGTGTTTCATGAATTAGGACATACCTTTGATCTCGGTCATACCAAAGATGGTATTATGGGAAGAGGATTTGATAACATCGATCGTGTTTTCCTTGTTGGTGAAAAAAGAGCATCTTTAATTAAAGATAATATGAATAATTACAATGGAAAACCAGTACAACATTCTACAGTGTCACTTCAACGAAATATCAGCGTTACAATGAATGTAGCAGAACCACTACGAGTTTTGGGGCCAAGAAGTAAAACTACACTCGGAAATTTTGCTTCTATGTCAAAATCTGACATAATAAGACGAAGTCCAAATATTACACCAATTACGAGACCCTCTAGTGTTTATTCCAGTATAACAAATAAACTCTCGGATTCTAAAAAAAACGTTAATCGTATAAATGGAAACGACTCCATATATTGGACGAGGAACTGTGCAGTCCTATTATCTTATCATCGATGGTTTAACAATGAATACGGAAGAGAAAGACAAGCCATAACAAGATATTTGAAATTTGATAAAAATAAGATGATGATAATATCCACAGCTGGAATAAGAATAGTAGAAGTTCGAGATGAGTCAAATGGAATGGTTTTAGATTCTTACGAATTTACCAACCTTTTACCTGAAAAAAGATTTTTGGTACCATTCACATTTTCACCTAAAAGTAAAGTTTTAACTATTGTAGTAGAAGATGACTTGGGAAATGTATTAAAACAAACATTTTCTTATTGAATTAAAATTAGGACAGTAGTGTTTTACGTAATGACAATAAAGTGAGGAAAATAGATATATCGCAAAGGAATATGTGGTGTACATAATAAAAGTATTTTATTCTATGAAAGATATAGAATATAGGACTAACGGACAGTTATAGTGCACTTTTTTATTCTCAATGCTATAATTTAATGTGGATAAGAAGTGATAATAATTCTCTTTAACTAATGGCAACTCTAAATTTGACGTTTCGTTGTTATGATTTTGATTTCAGGAATTCACGAAATCATTTCCTTTATTCTCGTAAAATAACTCAACATAGCAATAAGTGATGACTTAATAATTTGTGATCGTGTTTTATAATTCCTGCAAAATTTTGTGTAAAAAACCTAGTTCATCTAGAGTACATATTTATGAAATGGCTAATGCTTCTACACAAATAGCGAGTGAAAATGTTTTCTACGATATTATAAAACCATTTCCGCCCGTTATAGATGGAAAAATAAACGTAGTAAAATTCTTAGAGTCGGCATCAGATTTAGTGACTTTAGTAGGTAAGTGAATAACGTAAAACTATTCCACAAATCTACTTACATTTTCTCTAAGATTTTCTTACAGGGTTATTTGATAGTAATTAGAACCAATTCATAAACTTTGACGTTTTATAAGTGTCCATAATGTGTCCCAGTGTATGTTAAATTAGCTATTAACTAAATTTAAAATCCAGTTGAATACAAATGACCCAGTTATAATGTGTTCAATTGTTTGTGTTAAATGTATTTTTATAAAAAAAATTACACATTTTTAATAATGTTATGCATAAAAACAAACAAGATGTAAGGTTGTATGCTCTTGGATGCTTTTATCTAATCTTTAGTCATGAAACACTAATTTAATAATTATCTAATAATTTGGTGTACATCTTATTATAGTTAAATTTAATATTTATTATGTTTTCAGAACGTCTAGGCAAAACATATGCCCCAGTCAAATATGATATGCAAGGAAATATAGATGTAAGTATATTATTAAAGGAATGTTTTTGTTATAGGCATGTAGGATGTATCAGAGAATAGTATGGTATTCTATAATCTCGGTTCACTCTAAAGTTAAAATTATATTATCTTATTAAATATTATTAAATTTCTTTATCACTGAACAGTAAATAGTAATTTTTGGGATATTATTTTAATTATATAAATTGATAAATGGTTTCTAAAATATAGTGCTATGTTAGATAAAAAGAGATATTTTCTATCATTTTTTTATTAAAAAATTGTACCGTAGTATTTATGTGTCTAAAATGAAATGTAAATTATCTTTAGATTCACTATATAAAGGATACTTATATTTAGAACATGTATGTATACTTGCAGATTTTTTGTACAAATATATATTTTAAAAATATTTCTTCTCTTTGCAGAAAATAAAAAAAGCATGTGTGTTTGATAAGACATCATGTTTACTTGAGTTAATGCTTGATGAGATTGGTAGAGGAAAAACAGTAGCTACTGAGAGCATATTGTGGCTAAACAGGTAAAAAGCTTTTCAATTGTGCTTCATAACATTTGAAAGTCATCATGTAATATGTAACATTGTTATAAACTGTGTTTACTGTTATTAATAAAATATTTAGTATTAACACTCATTAAATAAAATAGGATGTTTTGAAATAGTAGACAATACTGAAAAATTAATAACTAAATATATATTTGTTTCTTTATGTATATATGTTAATATTTCTTTTACAGAGCATTATTATTTTTTGAGCTGATTTTTCAAGAAATAATTAGACATTTAAAATCAAACCACTATGATGTAAATATGAATAAAATATTCTTAGTGGCTTATGAAGGATCAGTTAAAAAATACCACAACTGGATCACTCAACAAATATTTGCAGTAAGTTTATAGATAATTATGGAAGACATTATTAAAATATACAATATTTAAATTTATTTTTAAATTACTGAAGAAAAATATGCAACATGGAATAGGAAATAGACATCCTATCTAGTGATAACCATCTCCAATAGACAAGAATAACACCATGGACATTATAAAATATACTATTATGCCTATATCATGCATATAATTCTTAATGTTAAGATGATAACATCTTAACATCTCATCTCTATTATTATAGTAAGAGTATTTTGTATAAAGTCCCTCACCAGAGGGAGATTTTGTATAAAAGTTTGGGTACCTCTGTCCCATTCTGTTTTAACCATGAAGCAATCGTGTTTGCATAGCTGTGTTTTGGTTTGAAGGGTGGGCTATAGCAGTAAATATACAGGGTACAGAAGTACCTTAGTCCTCAGGAATGACAATACATGGGGTGTATCATAGGCGATACAGTATACTCTGTTATGTCCATGGTACTACTCATGTCTATAGTTAATGGTTACCACTTTTCAACAGGTTGGCTGTCAACTTGTTTACCATTCTAAGTTCCACAAAAAAATTCAGCCTAACATATACAAACATAAACCTATACACCCAATAATTTCACTTAAATATTTACTTTACTGCCGCCACTACTAAAACCAGGACACAGCCATGCAAGCAGCTTGCTTAGTGACAGAAACATGAATGGGACAAAGTTACTCTAGCAGATAACTTTTGTGCAAGGTGTCTGTTTTAGTAAACTTAGTCTCAGTAAATGCAAATATTGGCAACTTTTAAAATTTGTAACACAAAATCGGTAATCATATCCAAAAATGTAAAAATAGTTCAATTGAAAATCTCTTCCTTTTTAAATTTAGTTAAAAAACCCATCCACGAAAGACGAAAATGACTTGAACAGCATAACATTAATGTTAGCTCTGTACACTGTATTCTAAGGCTCCATATTTTTGAACAAATAATTTGACACCAATTTATTCACTGATACATATTATGTACATTGTTCATTTACTTCAGCTTATTTGCAAGATCTCCTCCTTTTTAAGTTTCGTTAAAAAAACCTGTCTATGAAAGGCGAAAATGACTTTAACAGCATAACATTACTGTTAGCTCTGTACACTGTGTTCTAATACTCTGTATTTTTGAACAAATAATTTGACACCAATTTATTCACTGATACTACATATTATGTACGTTGTTCATTTATTTCAGTTTATTTGCAAGATGTCACCTACACTTCCCCAGATCTTGAAGTCGCTAGATGTTGATGATGTTAAATCTTTTGAAACTAAGTTATTACATTTTAATATAACACTACATTTAGTTAGATGTAAAATTGACAACTTTTTCAAAGACAACAATATGTTTGATGAAGTCAGATAAATCTTCAAAATATTTATTTTAAGACCAAGAAAAAGTAGATAGAAAAAAGTATTGATCATTGTAGTGAGAAGCTAAATTATATGTAGTATATAATTCAGGAATTGTTATCATAATTTTGTTAACATGTGAAATAATCAATAAGGACTTGAAACAAGCTATTTAAATTAATGTAACAAATATGATTTATTTATTACAAATTGTGCAATTTCTTTTAAAATATTGTAAGACTGTAAATGAAAAAGATTCAAAAATAATTCTCATCCAAACAAATACCTAAGAAAGTATTGCTACAAGAGGCTGTAATTAAAACAAATATTATTATATAATGTTTACCTACTAAAAATCATTAGTTTCATTAATAATATGAATTTTTGTAATGTATATCTGTGGGCTGTATATCATCATATGGCTTATTTTTGTGTTTAAAATGAGATATTATGTTGCAATTAGTCAATGTTAAATGTACAGTGCCTTGAAGTGTGCTTGCGAGGCAAAGTAGGTATTGATAATAATTTTAATTCACTATAAAACACTCAGTATTAAAATATTTTTAGAAATTATATTTGATACCAATAATAAATCTTAATTTGATGTAATGAAAGTATTAATTAAGATCAGATATAACTATGTTTTGAAGAAAGAAATATAGGAATTTATAGTTAATAAAACCTTGGTTATTTTAACACATGGATTTTTGTTTCATACAAATGCACTTTCCATTGAATCATTGTGATTTTGTGATACATGCCTTATTCATCGAAACTCAAACTATTATTTAACATTAAATGTTGTATAACAACACAATAAATAATTCCATTATATATTTTGTATTTTATTTAATATCATAACTTACATCTATGTTATAAGAAACAAATTGAAATTAGATCAAATACTGTGTGTGTGTGTGTATAAACACACATACTAACACAATAATTTTATTTCTCATTGTCACACCAATATTATTACTTTTTTACTTTGACTTCCACAAATAGCCTAATGTGAAATCAAAGCTAACATGTAAAATCTAATTTTATTCAGTTGAATAGTTTATTCTTATTTTCTCTAGTTAAGATATGTAATACTTCATATAATGTAAGATTTCCATAACAATATGACGTTACTGTTTTTATATAAAACACTGTTAAATTTAATAATTAGTATTGTTTAGATTTTCTATAATATTTAAATTTTATTTAAATTAATAAACCTTACCTGTTTGTGTTATTTGTCTTAAATAAATACTTTTTGCTAAAGAGGATGCCTGTTTTAGTGCTAAATAACTAAGCACTATTTCAGCAAGTGTTAGACCCCATAGGACAGCATGTAATATTATTTCTGTAGGAGTGCTTAATAAATATGGGTTGAATAAAAAAAAACTGACTAGTGGTATCTGCATTAATACAGTCACCATGAGAAATCCTGCTAATTCTGGCACCTGTAAAAAAATCTGTGATAAACAAGCTATAATAAGAACTATATATTCATTGATGGAAAGTGGTAACTGTCACCTAAAAAAATGAATAATAGTACCATGATATAAGCCATCACATAATGACTCATCTGAAAATTAACCTTAAGAATATATGTATATATAGAGATTTGTTTGAATCGAAACATTTGGCACTCCATTGTTTCTGACAGGTGTGACAGATATATATATATATATATATATATATATATATATATATATATATATATATATATATATATATATATATATATATATATATATATTACATACATATATAGCAGTGAAACTAGGCTACACTTTACTCTGATCTCACATCAAACTGAAACAGCCTTAAGACCAACTACTTATTAGCAAAAATAACACATTTCCAATTTTATAATAAAGTAATAATAAAACATAAAAACCACTATGGTTTCATGTGCAACAAGCAACTCTGCAAAATTTTATAGAAATTGTGATGAGATGAAATTATAACAAATTTGCAGACAATACAAGACAAGACAGACTAGCAGTTATAAGCTTGCCCCTAAGAGTATCCACTGACCTAAAAGAATATTTTTGTAAAATATACTGAATAAGATAAATCAGTTACTAAAAAGATAGCATTATTATATTTCTTACCCGACATGATAAATTTCCATAATGACCAAGATAAAGTCTTGCATATTCAATTACAACAATTAATGTAAATACAGTTATGGATAAATACTTTGTTAGGTGACCCAAAATATCCAGCTGGAATAGAAAGTGCTATATATTAAACTGTTTGAAAACATATAACTGCAATTTAAATATTTTTTCTAATAAATATTCTAAATTACTTACCTTTGTATAAAGAAAAAATGCTACTACAAATATCCAAGTTGTATATAAGTAAACATTTAGGTAGAGACACTTTTGTAACCAAAGCATTAATTTAAATTTCATTGTAACAGTACAGGGAACTTCGGTAATAATATTTTTTTACTATTTTAATAATTGGAAGCTACAAAACAAAATAAACTTATTTAGGACTTTTAAAAAAACAGAGATCATAATTTTGCACAGAACAGTGAACAGTCTAATCTCAAGTCCAATTTAATAATTTTAGCCAAAATTGTCTAATATATTAAATTCTGTAATTATAAAAATACTGTAATATTTTGGAATCAAATTTTAAAAATAACTTTTTCTTTAATTATTTTTAGGGCACTAGATTCTAGCCCTTTAGAGCCGATCTTCGATTCATTCATCGATGAGTATAACGTATTTAAGAACAAATATATGTATAATGCAAGAATTGAAAAATAATATGTCTAAGTAACAACCTACTAACAAGGTATTACATACAAGGAATGATAAAAGCATGTAAATCATATGGTTGCCTCCTTTCTTCTTATGCAAATATAATTAGTAAAAAAAGGACAAAAGATACACCATCAGTTGCTATTTTTGTCAAATCATAGCAGGTTATTGTAAAGAAAATGTTTGATATTTTATGTCAATGGCACATTTTACATTACTTGTTCTTAGGTAACGACTAAGAACAAGAAATTACATGGAAGGAATGGTAAAATAAAAATTGTAAGTGAAATAATTGCCTCATTTCTTCTTATTCAAATATAAATAGTGAAAAGAGGACGACTGATACACTATCGGTTGTTATTCTTGCCAATTCATTACAGGCTAGTGTATGAAAATATTATATTGCCGTATAACCCTACCAAATTTAGATACAATCTATATCACATACTTTCTACATAAACTGTGTCGAATATATAATCTACTAATGTTTGTAATTTTTCCTCTCCTCTTTCCGTTATCTGCAGTTATATATTTTACTAATTAATTACCTTATATACCGGTACAGGGTTTACAATTACTAAAACTATTATCCAAAATTACCAAAATTGCTCCAAGCCCACTTCACTTTTATCCAAAAATTTCACCAAGAATTATCTAATTCTTTTAGAAACTTTTTTAAACCAAATTTGCAAAAAACCTAATCTGTCAATGCTGCTACATAAGTAAGTATTTCTTGTTAATGTTGAGTCTGACCTGGATGATGGCGAATCTGGAAAATAAATCTATGCAACTACTAAAAAGTAGATATTCGAACATTGATTTAATTTTCACAGTATTATACACTGACGATTCGCACCGATTTCGTTTTTTTTTTTTTAATAAAATAAAGCTTGTGTTGCTCTATGATAATATAAGTATCTACAGAGGAATTAATTTTTAAAATTTGTTAAGTATTCTTTGCGTTTATTCATTACAAACATAAAAATCTTTTTTATTTAATATTAGATTATTATTTATAGCATATGTTATGTATTGTCCAAAATATCGATATCTATGTTTAGTCTGATTAGTGTCATAAAAGAGTTACCTATTTTATTGTGTAAAATAGGTAACTCTTTTGTTTCAAATTATTACATTGATTAAACTTAAATATTTCAAATTGATTAAACTGGTTGTATAAATTTTATACTAACATTTTTGTATTCAAAGTGATACATACCTGCAAAAAATAAAATAAAAATATGACAATTTGAATTGACATTGGGCGTTTATTAGTTTCTAAGGTTCTCTAGCTATTGTCCCTTTGTTCATTTTGTTGTCCCTTTGTCAAGACCCTTTTTCTTAGGAACGCATGGAGTTATCAAGTTGAAATAAATATCTTATACTCAGGTCTGCAATCTTAAAACAGCGGAAAATCAAGCTTCTAAATCGACGCAATCAAAAGATACGGCCGTTTATGTTCCATTTACATCGCATATTTTGATATTCGCAAAGGGAATCAAAACCTATAGAATACTTCCCATTGACCTAAAATAATGAAAACCGTAAATTTGTATATTATATTACAAAAAATATACTTCATGATTTTGTACGGAACCCGAGTTGCTCAAGTCCGACTCTCACTTGACCGGCTTTTTTATTTAAATAATTCTCCCATATACTAATTCATTCTTGAACATTACTTTTATGAAATATATTTTTAATTTTTTGGTTATTTAATTTTTCTTTTGCTAATTATTTAAAATATTAATAAAATTTTGAAAGAGAAACAAAAAACTTACTTAAACACTAGTAATGTGCTCATTATTATCCAACTCGAGTACAATACGAATATTTTAAGAATTCAACCTGTGTGGCGTATTACTGACCATCACAATACGTCTTTTATATAACTGGCCATCATATTCCGTCTTTCATATTTTAATATTTCTATTGTTTTTATGTTTTTACAATTCTGTCATTATTAGTCTTTGTTTTCCTACCTATGAAGACGTGATAAAAGAGAACTACAATATTTAAGCATTTTTATTATCAACCCGTTTCTCTTAACCTGTATTCGTATACCCTGCCTCCGACTTATGTACATTGCTTCTTTAGACATACTAATCTCTTTAATCTGTGTATTGCGTATTCGAGTAATTCAGTTCCAATTCCTATTAGTTTATCAGATTATATGCGTTAAAATACAATTCTTTATATGCGAAATACAATGAGAAAACCCAATGTAAACCATTAGCATTGGTATTTTCAAATACCCTTATATAATAAAAAAAAATATCTACTCGAATCATCCGTACTCGAATCATCCATACTCGGTACATCACTAAACATAACCTCAACTGAATTATATTCTTAACCAAGAACTTCATTTCATGTTTATATTTATTTCATGCTATCTATGAATTCATTTTAATAAATACACATTGATGTCTTTAAAAATGTTATTACGATCATTTCAGTGGTCATTAGGTGTGTGCTTGTTTGATATCTAACAAATCATTTTTTCTATTTACGTTCTGTTTTAACTTGATTAATTTTTTTATAATTTAATTTTTAGGTTTATTGCGACCAAATAATGTTGAACATACATTATCTGCTGGAATTAAATATTTTCCGCCTCCCAAAAACTATGACGGTAAGTAAATAATTTTTTATGCTAATATTAATATAATAAGCTAATATTATGAAACTTGTCTCTACACAGTTTCACCACCAATTTTGTACAGTGAACGTTCTATATAAGCTCATCGAACTCATTTGAACCACTTTAAATAAAAAAAAAATCTTATTAGAAAAAATTGTTTCTAGGGGAAAAAGGAGTATAAAAATACTTTACAGTCTGGAAAATATTTTTACTTATTTCTATTATTAAGCTGAGTAGAATAAATAAAATATAAATAATGTTGCTTATAGAGAGGTTGCTTATATAAAGCATTCACTGTATTATGATATTATTATTAGTCGTATTCTACTGTTGATATAAATTTTTTAAGCTCACAATGTTAAAATAACAAAACAGTGAATCCACTATCATCATAACAACTTATCCTTTGTCCACTGCTAATCATGGGTCTCACTCATATTACATCACAAAATATGATCCTGCACCAGCCTGCACATCCAGCGACATCCTGCAACTACTAAGGACAGGTGTAGCGGAGCTGCCAAAAAATGGTGGCCGCAGCATTCACATTCACACCGTCAGCGTAAATGTGTTAAGATAAATTATCATTATATAATTTTATACTACATAGTATACTCTTTGTGACAATAGTAATTAAATATAAACATCTTAATTAATTTAGGTCAAGTTAATAACTTTTAAGAGCAATCATACTTTAGCTTACCAAAGTGTAGTAACATCTGCATTGTGTGGCTAATAATCCTTTGAATGTCCTGGTTTAATATCCTCCTTTTTCTGTATTTCCTTATAAACTCTATGGATAAAAGTGATTTAGAGAATCTAAGAATATTACATTTCATTTTCAGACATTGAAATACCTGACCGTCAAAGGCTTCGTGTGTATGAAAAAGTACCAATGTATCCATCAAATTTAAAACCACCAAAGATGCAGAAACGATTAAGGTACATGAGAGGCCCTGAACCATTACATACTCAACTACAATTGAAGCAGTATGGCGTTATTGTGAGTTATTACCAAATTAGTCAATGTTTTTTTAATGGGAAAAAATGGAATGGCAACTCCGCCCGTGCTATTGGTATACACTGATGAGGCACCAGTGAAAGATGATAGATGAGAATGAATGCAGGTCCATTGGCCCACCATGATGAAATCAACAAGAATTAGCCATCACGGTTTCCAGGGGGGACTGGGTGTATATTGCTAACTATTGGGCTATTTGATCTCATTACTGACAATTACTTTTCCCCAATTAGTCAATGTTGTTATATTCCACTATAATTTTTATCTTGTTTTTTTTTTGTTTGTGTGATATCAGAACAAAGATACAGAAACAGACAAAATTTCTAAAAAAAAATTATTGTTTCGGCATCTGTTGGTTTATTAAGGCCCCTCATTATTTTTTCTTATTATCCTCCATATACAGACATCCTGTAGTTACAATTTTATTATATTAGTAATTTTTACTGATTGTTTTTATTTTTACTCTTAAAATATATTGTACTAGCTGTGTCAACTTTGTCTATGTGAGAGGGATAAAATCCTATCATAAGTCCTTCTTTATTCTAAATACAATGGGAATGCTTAATTTCATAATAAAAAGGATAAACTATTAACAAGTAAGTCATATTTGTAATATAAGTAATATTCAACAATAAATTTATAGTTTTTATAATATGTAATAAAATTTGTAAAATTGAAACAGTGGTTTTAAATATAAAGTAAAGATATGTTGTACATGTCTGTTGTTTAGTTAGACCAAAATAACATATTTTCCTTTTAACAATTATTCTAATATAATTGTAGCATTATTTTTTTTAAATCTTGTTTATAATTTGTATTTTCAGGCTACTGGTGGTGGCAGATTACGTATTGAACATTTTGAGATGGCACGTCTGGTAGTCGCTCGTAAATTAGATCAAAAAAGAATGTTTGCCATTTGGCGTGTAGATCCTCCTTGGCAACCTGTCACTAAGAAAGGACAAGGCCAGCGAATGGGTGGAGGTAAAGGAGCTATAGATCATTATGTGACTCCTGTGAAGGCTGGTAGGGTGATTTTAGAAGTTGGTGGCAAATGTGAATATGCTGAGGTATGTTATGTATCCCATACATTTAGTAATGAAAAAAGTAATTATGACACATAATACATTGTAATTTCTTTGATTATACTTATATATACATGGTACATTTTGCCTTGATATATTCAGTGTCAAAACTTTTGCATGACACCACCTATAGAAAATACCAAGAATAATACAAATTAAAGTCATGCTGATAATAGCACTGGCCCTGGCATGGTGTAGAAAGCGTGGGTTTAGGTCTCGCATACTTCAAAATTTTTTAATCAATCATTATTGGGATAATCACTTACCTTCAGGTGAATCATGCGATGCTAGTTTGTCGCGTTTTCACATAAAAAATACACGATTTTCATATTTTAATAATACTTCTAAAAATTTTTAGGTATATAATATGTTAAAAATAGTAGCTGAAAGACTACCATTTAAGGCAGAACCTGTATCCCAGGAAATACTGGAGAAAAAAGCACATAATGAGAAATGGAAAGAAGAAAATAACCAGAATTACTATACTATGAAATATATAATACAAAATAACATGGGAGGTTGTCATAGGATGCTATCACCATTTGATCATGTGTGGTATGGTAAATATTTGTAAATATTTCATAATTTTATATTATATATAAATATTTAGTTCAAATATAATAGTTACATAAGAGATCGAAGTTTTATTGTAATGGCGGTTTATTTTATGATATATCAACTAATATGCTTTTTTTTACAAATTTAATTTAACTTGCAATGTATATTAATTTGTCTAGGTTTAATCTAGCAAACTGGATAAAAATAAACCGCGTCTGCAAAATAGTGGTTACATTTTAAAAGTTTGTTTTTAAAAATATTTTTAACTGACTTATTATTGAATTAAATCCCATCCCATTGAATGACATCCCATTACTATAGTAATGGGATGTCAGCCATATAATATAATAGAATAATGTCTATAAATTCACAAAATTCTGTGGAAAGTCAGATTTTGTTAGACACAATAAAAAGATATTTTTTGGGGTATTGGTACAAAGCGAATACTTCTTTATTCTGACCCAGCGACTCATAATTTCGAATAAAGAAATAGCTTACTGTGGCGCATTCAGAAACAGAGTCTTTGACATATAGGCCCTGTGTACTTTACTAACTTTTGACCAACAGTCATGAAATTACTCAAACACGCAGCGTTTGATGAGAAAATTATTCATACGCGATAGACATTTCTCATACACATTATTTTTTATTGACAACTATGATCTTAGACCTTTTTAAAAAATTGGTACCTACATGCGAAATAGTTAATAGTAGTACAGGTATCTAAATAAGGTAATGTGACAAAACTGAACATATCTCTTTTTAGAAATAAAACCACGAGATTAATTAATAATGGTTTATTAAATTTGATATTTTATGAAAGGATTTTCGTGACAAGCCTCAGTTTGCATACATGTATATAAACCTTGTAGCAATAATTATAAACTCCTTTCTTAAATACTATGGCAAAAACTCAACAAAAAACAAATGTTACAGTAACAAATACTACAGCGTAGAGTACTTAGTATCTTGTGATTTCCCTAACCTAACGACAAAAGCCAAATAACACGCTATCAGTGTTTTATAGATTATCATGTTTTAGTTTTGCTAATACTAGTTGATCAGTACAGAAAACGTCGCAAAACGTCTTTTGTACTCCCCAACTGTCGCTAAATATTACTATATAGTTTTCTGACATTGTTTTGTTCTATTTAAGATCACATTAATACACAATTACAAGATCAAAACATTTACTATTTAGTGTACCACTGTAACAGACATTCCACCATACTGTGTGCAATTCTACTCGGTCCATATTATGTTAAGCGACTCTAACACATTTATTATCTATTTCTGCATTGTCATCTCCGTACCTATAAATTATATAACGTCATAACAATATTTACAAAGCCTAAGTAACTAACTTACGAGTAAATGCAATGTACATCTTCAATAAATTAATACAGTGTTTACAATATCATACAAGCGCTAGATTCATATATGATATGGGTTTTTTATTTATAAAATCGACTGCACATTAAATCGTTCCCTAGCAGTCATTTTATCACAAGTTAAAAACCATTGCTATGTTCAAGATACAATACGCGATTTGATAACCGACTATTTATATGAGGTCAATATTTATTTAATCATTAATCAGGTATGCAGTATAATAGACGAACATACAATATATCTAATGTTGATTTTCATATTCTGGCATTATAAAGTTTTTTTTTTATATATATAATTATTAACCTCTTATAAATAGGTAACATCTGAGATTATAGTTCCTGTAATACACTTGTAACAAAATGCACAATTATATTATTACAATATTAAACGATACATAATTGAAATATAATCTTTGCAATTAAATGTCTTTATTAAATATTAAATTACAAACGTAAATTAATGCGGTGGTACATAACAGAGGAACATGATCCATCAAGAATGCATTGGTTGAGATAATAAAAACAGTATAAATAACAGAATTGAGCAAACAATTAGCTCAGATTATAATATATTTGACTAGTTCTGTGCCTTACAATCTAATCTTACTAAAATATGATTAATTCCCTAAACACTGGCAATTTGCAGTCTTAATACCTATTTATTATTTATATATTACCATTCTGAAGAGATAGGATAAACAATATTTGCCTTCTAAGTGGAATATTTTGTTATAACATATGTTACTGTTTGCTTAAATTGTTTGCAGAATGATACGTACAGATATAAGCTAAGCTATAAGTTAGACAAAAGTGAGGTAGCATTTTTACCTTCTAATGGAAAAATATTTACAAATCTAGAACAAATGCAATATTAATTTGTATTTGGTATTGGGATATTGTGGCAGCGTCAATGTATATACTTATTTGGTGTAGGTCCGCAAGAATATGTTGGGTTTAAGAGAAAAGGTTAGCCCGTAATTTAAAGAATAAATATATCAATTAATATACAGATAAAACAACAGTGTCTTTATATAAATCTATTATAACCATTGACGTAATGAGTATTAACTACATGCACACAATTATTACTATTAGGTACTTAAATATGTGCAGCTTTGTAGATGACTAGAGTAAATACGTTATATGATAATATATGTATAAAACAGTTAACAGTTACATTGTGTATGTTTTCGTTTCTGATCACTGCAAGGATCCACATTTAGACACATATTGTAGAGGGCAATACCTTGACGGTCAACAACAAGTTTATTCGTAAGCTTCGCTCAAATGCTCCAACAAGAATTTCAGTTGTGTTTTCATAAAATTATTTTTATGAGCGATCGAGTCGCAAAGCATTTGTGTGGGTGCAACGACATTACCGTTGTTGATGTTCTCATAAATAGGCGCATCGTTTGTCGAATACGTGTTATTGTTGTTGTGCGTGTCAATGGTGTTGCCCTCGAGCTCGGTTGGCCGGGACGTATCAGTGGGTACATTGTATACGTCGATTGGAGGAGCTTTGATGATATGCTGATATTTAAACGTAGACAATATCTGCCGGATCTTTGCAATGATCTGCTCTACTCAGGCGTTTGATTCCTGCGAAAAATTTGAAAACGGGCATAAGTCAGATTTTACCAGTTAATGTATATTGTAATAGAATGTTTTTATAAGTATAGTGAAGATTACACTACTGTCTAGTGTCTAGGCTAATGATAGCTGCCGTCTAGCATTCTACTTTGATGATAAAGTAATGATTGGTCGACTAATTATAGGTGAGGGGTGCCACAATGCAGGCAATTGCCTTAAGATTAAAGTTTGCTGCAGGATAGTGAAGAAGTTAGAACCTTAATAGTACCTATATTAATTATAATACTGCACGGCATATATATGTATATTTGTATAAAAAGTATAGTAAGTAGTACTGATACAAAACTATGCTAGTACCACTTTAAACGCATCAAAATGTAGGCTGTATATAGTTCATAAGAGAGTAGGTAGACACATCGAACATCGAAACACGTAATGATAGAACCGCATAGGACGGCGGTGACCGGTGACGGAGCTGGTAACGTTACCGATGCAAGCGACAGCAACATCTACACTAGAAGCATGGTGGGACGGTGTGTGTTTATACCTTGAGGTTGTGGAAATAGTGCATGATCTGATTGTAGTCCATGTGTAGGTCGTCGAGGCCAAGCGCCTCGGTGCCGTCAGCACGCGGTTCACCGTCCTCCCGTGTCTCCCCGCCCCGGGAGTACATCGGGTTGCCCACGATTGTGGCGCGTTTTACCTCTGGGGAACTGCTCCCTGAACAAATACCGTCACCAAGTTAGTATGTGGTGTAAGTATTAATCGATAAAATGGTAACAGATGTTGAAGTGACCAATAGAACCATAATACTAGAAGCGGAAGAGATTACATAACCTCAATAAATTTGAAGTGACAATGGATTAGTCACTGCTGGAAAAATTTATATCCAACAGGAACGAAATATTTTTGAGTGGCTATTCTGTACAAGCAAGTAGAGCATAGGGCGCCCCCTCACTAAAGTGACAACCTCAAATGTTAAACACAAGAAGTCGATGGATACCAATCGTATATTACTTAAACACATTTTTAAAATTTCTAAAAAGTACTAACCTTTAGTCTGAGCTTCTACGAAGTTTCCTTTCGGCTCTTTCGATCTGGTTTTATGCCTCATCTGCAACTCAGGTAGTCCTGAAAAGAAATCAAATACTTATAATAATTATTGGTCTCATTAAAGTAAACATGCCTATTTACTGGTTATAGCAATCAGAATAGGTACCTATTCCTGAATCGTGCATGTAGTCGGGACTCTGCGGTTTAACGAACGTGCGTCTCGAGTCATCGGTACCTCTGTTGAGACCCACTATCTCTCTGTAGTCCTTGTTCTCCATTACGAGCGGAGCGTCGTTGTCGAATTCGAACAGTCTAGCGCAGTCTTCCTTATTAGTCAGCTTTTCCACGGGGTTGTCGCCAATGTCGTTGTGATGCATGGGGTTCTGTTCTCGCTTGTAGTCTTTCATATCTCGGTTTGACAGGTACGGGGCATCAACTTTGTTCAAATCAATAATTCTAAAACAACCAAAGTATGCACAAATTTATAAAAAAAGTAGGATAATTGAAAATTTCCAAAAAAATAAAATTCCTTAACTAAGCCTTTTCAATGAAAAAAAAAACTTCTGAATTGGCCCATGATTGATGTACCGTATATACGTAAAAATTATTCAATAATACAAAAAATAAATTAAAGTTTAAAACTTTCTTTAATTGCGATCAAAAAAGTGTCAGAGGGATACTTTAATTCCCAGAAATAGAACAACATGAGCCATGACTCGGTGGCAGTTTGTTTTTATAGGCGACGGTGTGTATTCATAAGGAGAGATATCATATTAGTCACTCGCAATAGTATCAAATTATAAATATCTGAATGTGTTGTTGAAATTACCGGTCTGAGCGGCGGCCATGTTCGGGAGACCTTTTCGAAGACTCGTGGTCGCGATCGTGCCTTTTATGATGGTTCCTGGAGTGACTCCGTCTAGTTGGTGGCATGACGGCTTCGGGTAAAATCTAAAAGAAACAGTGTATTTATTAGATACCTAACAAATTTGTTGTTGATATATTCCAATAATATTTTGGCTTACTTTGCTCGGGTTTCGTGGCGGGACGGGCAGCTGCGGTTGGGGCGTCGATGAGTTTCTGTGCGGAGGCACCGGAGGTCGGTAGTCATCTTGATTGGAAGCATCCACCCTGAAGTCCGAAAGTATTAAATTATACCTCAGTTACTGTTATACAGTGTGTAAAATGTTAATTATCTAAATTCTATAATTTTTCTCAAATACAATATTGCTATTAAATTATCATTTGACAGAACTTATTCGGTCTACCAAGTGGACTATATTTGTTTTGATTTAAATATAAATAAATATTCTTAAATTGATATTCTTAGGTATCACACTACACATTAGGTACACAGTGATTACTTGTTCATTGAATATCCTTACCCTTACTAATATTATAAATGTGAAAGTAACAATCGAACTAAATTAATAATCAAAAGCGCTTTAACGACTTAATCGATAACTATGAAATTTGGTATACACATGTTGTATGGGATGGAGAAGGACATAGGCTTTTTGTCCCGATCAGTAAACATTTTACAATTACACCAATGATGTCGCGGTTAAAAGCTAGTAATTTTCAATGTAGTGATCGTATAAATATTGATAAATAATATATTATGTCTAATTTTAGTAGTAGCGAAAATTTCAAAATTAATTATATTTTCAAATATAAAGATAACTTGTAAGTAAGTATTCTAATAATTAAGGACAGTAGTATGATATAGAGATATAATTTTCCCCCTATTAAATTAATTGTACTACTTACTGCCAATGACCATCTCCGGACGCCTGACGAGTGTGTCGAGCTGGTTTCTTGCAATACGTGGTTGAATCGATAACCTTCTCCCTTTTATCGTTCTGCGATGGTAATTCTATCGAGTTTGGATTATCGAAACTGGTAACCATTACGTTTCCATTATCTTTGATCGCGTCATCAGGATCCACGTAATTGTAGTTGAGAGGGTTGGCAGTGATACGCATTTCATGGTTGCCATTTCCGTTATTCTCTGCGGGTTGTGTGGAGTTGCGGTTCGCGGGGTGACGGTTGCCGTTGCGTTCGATTGTTGCTCGTCCTAAAATTTGTATATTTTTAATATAATTTGTAGGCATATATAAAAATATGTCAAGGTCGTGAGTGGAATACTCTGTTCTGTTAGTAAAATTGAAAAAGTCTCTACATATAAGAGCTCACAGTTATTAATAGAAGTTGATTTACAGTATATTTGAACAAGAAGAAGTAGCAAATTAAAGTGCTTAGTGAACATGTTTGTTAAAAATCTATCAAATGTAGAAAAATAAAAGCTGTTTATATTCTTATTTGCATATCCTACTAATATTATAAACACAAAATAATTGAATATGTATTGGACGACTTGTTACTCTGTCACGCAAAAACCACTGGACAAATTTGAATGTAATTTTATACTAATTTATATACGCGTGCGAAGCCGCGGCATGTAGCTACTATTATATAAAAATTGAATTAAATTATATAAAAATTCACATTAATCTCAGAAACCCATCACACAATTTAAAATAGTTTAAAGATATGACATGAAATAATTGATCCGTAATGAGCAAAACAAAGTTAACCGAACCAGCTAGTATTAAATTAAGATTCTCAACCAAACTTACCTAGCCACACCCAATCATGGGCGTTAGTCGTTGACTCCCTAGACGGTTTCTCTCTCGCCAAGCCAAGAGTGGTACCAACAAGGCCGGCTACTTGTAATCTCCCACCTTCAACCAATGCCGGCATACTACGTCCGACGGTAGCGCCCCCTTCATTGCCAGCTGGCTTGAGCCGTGATGCGTACACTACGCATGACACTACGAACACCTGGAAATCATTACAATGTATTCATGTGAGTGTGCTTTTGAGAGGTAATGATGTAGTAGACAAAATATTTAATGGAATTGCTATAATAGGAATTGGCATGGCTATTAGAAAAATTTTCTCTTTTAATATAACTAATAACAGATATCAGATAATTTTCTAGTGGACGTAGGAGTGGGCATCGACAGACATCCATATCTAACTTCCCTTACATATCTATTCCCTATTTCATTCTACCTTTAAAATTACTCAACATCTACTATTATGACATATAGTAGATGTTCAAAAATATATATACATACACAGTATACTCTGTTATGTTCATGGTACTGTTCATACCTATAGGCGACGGTTACCATTTTCCATCAGGTGAACCATCTGTTTGTCATTCTAAGTTGCTAAAAAAAAGGAATATTTATATGTATTTATTTTAAATAAATAACATTATTATGAAAATTACTTACCACAATTGCGAAGCAGAATGCACCGAGTAAAACGTACATTCCTGAAAAATAAAATTTCAAATAAGTTGCTGGATAATATTCAAATAGATATTTCATCACAATTAAACAAAGTTATAAAAGATGATAATAATAATACATCGTAAGTTATATAAGTCAGTTGCTACCTTTACTGTGCTTATTATTATAGGTATTTATTACCTTTAGTTGCAAACGAAACAAATCATAGATATATTTTCGTGCGAAAGAAATTGAACAATACGGCGACGTAACGCATCTTATTATTTGTTGTGCTCATGGCAGTGAAGACGTATCTATCAATAAACTCTTTTGCCAGTTTTTTAGGAAGATTAATTTATACTTAGTAAATATACTATATATATACTGACCAATTTCAACGGGCGTCATATGCGGAGGCGGGTGCCGGGGATGCACGGCGGAGTTGCTTCGGAAGATGGAACCGTACTGCTGCGCCTGCACTGTCGGCTCGTGGTTGTTCTCATCTTTGAAGGGTGAGAATCCTTTAAAACATAAATTTATTTGTACTCGACTACCGGAAAAGGACTTACAAGATCCTTAAAGAATTGTTTACGACACTTATAGGCAAAATTAACACAACCATGCAAAAGATTTTCCCACATATGCTCGTAACATTTCTGAAGAGTATAATTCTTTATCAAAAATTGCATATGCAAACCTACCATTCACATTAAGACAATAATGTAATATTAAATATAAAAATAATAATATGTTGATAGCCAAAATGAGTATATAGGGTAGTCAGATGCAATTATCGACCGTTGTTGTTGTGATGATCGCTAGCTTTAGATTTGCTCACATTAATATTTACACCGGAGCCATTACATCGTCTTTCGGGTGAATTTGGTTTGTTAATGATATTTTTCATTAGGTACTGAATTTATCAATTGGAAGTTGAACTTATACTATGAGAAACCAAACGCAATCAGTATATAAAAGCACAAACATAGACAATTAATTTTGAAAAGTTCATTTATTAATTTAATTCGAACAATTTAAGCTATTACACCTGTAAGACGATTACCTCATCATTATTTACCTTTAAGAACGTCGCTAAGATCGGCCATTCCAGTTCTAACGCCACCTCGCGCCATAATGTCATCATTCTGCGGAGTATCAGGTCTCTGCGGAACATCCCCGCCACTAAAATCCACATCTACACTCGCAGCTGCGCTTGCCAAAGCTCCAGGTATATTTTTAATATTGGCTGGGGTCTTGGCATCTCCTTTCCCCGGGAGAGCGACTCTTCGGAGTGGTCCCGAGCGACATTGTTCGGGTGTTAGAAGAGTAACTCGTAGGAGTTCACCGCTACCTATAGATAATAACGTTAATACTTTAGTAAGAAACAGGTCCATAATGTGTCAGTATTTTTGTGTGTGTACGTTAGGCGATACCTTCACCAATACTGATCTAATTTTGATGATTCTTTTATCAATTGATAAGGTTTATTCTATATTGGTGTTGGTTCTATATTAATTTTATCACGATTGAAGTCAGTAGTTTGTGGTTAAAAATCTTATTATATCTTACAACATATTTCTCACTACGTGTTTATTAATAAAAATACATTATACTTTTTAAAAACTCATGTACATGTTCTTTTTATAGATAGGTACCTTCTAATGAATATTAAGAAAAAGTAGCTTGATTATTGAGTGTATGTTGTTACAATTAATTTTGTTATATCTATATAAAAACTTAATAATATTCATTTGCTGTTAACATCTTTACTTATAATTTTCATAAAATAGGATGATGAAACTTATGCATAATGAAGTCTAGTGTATTTATTATATTCCCCTATAATAAAATTGCTAAAATTATTAAAAAGAAAATCTGCAAACATGCACCTTCACCAACAGCTATAACTCTTGGGTGCCTCGAGGCCAGCATGGGTGCAAATGCCACCACTTCAGGGTCTAGACTCTCCACTAGCAGATAATAGTCAGATACTGCGACGTCTCGCAATGCTGTGCGACTACCATCTGAGAACTCCATGTCGATGTCGAGTAGGCCTTCCTAAAATACAAATTTTACAATTAAATAACATTACATTAAGGGGCCGCCCTAGACGGACGTAATGCGATCAAATAGGCGACATGCTGAAGAAGGCCTAAATTAAAAGTACCCGTAACCGGCGAGCGTGTATGAAAAGATTATTTGAATTTTAAACATTTAAGTCCGAAATCTAAACAACACCAAAAATTTTGTATCGATTTAATTATGTGACTATCATTCTGATATTGTAAAATACCATTAGAAATAAGGGTAATGCGAGATACAGCGATAGGCTCGAAATGAATGATGATGGTTCACCTCCTTCTATTTGTCAAATTAAAGAAATAAGTCTAAAATCTTTAACTATATATCCTGAGCGTTCTAATAAACAAATACCAAGTAAGTAGGTATATAAGGAGATTAGTATTACGTTGGCTCACCTGATATTGTGCGGTAAGGCGTCTTGTAACTGTGGTTTCTGATACATATCCATTTTCTATGGCTGAATCAGGAGATATGTTAAGCTGAAGACCAGAGATAACTCGCACTAGCAACCGCGAGATTGACACCTTATCATTCACTACTCGCACTTCACGGACACCTATTACACGACCTGTACAAGAATAGATTGTTAATATCCTAATCCTTACTAATATTATAAATGTGGATTTGTTGGTATATTACCTCTTAACGCTTTAACCAATCCTCAAGAAATTTGATATACATGTATAAAATATATTTCGTATATATTATACATGTGTGTGTGTATGTATGGCATGAGGAAGGACACAGGTTACTATTTATCCTGATCAATCACAGTAAAATATATACATGAATGAAGCCGTGAGTATAAGTTAGTCAATAACAAATGCAGGTTTGCATTGGGTCAGTTATTAACTCCAAATTCTAGAGAGATCAATGTTAACCCGCTAACTATTATAGCGGTAATTGATTATAAGTCAGAACAGAACTGTCGCGTCAGCATTGACTCGAAAATTCCCATTGAATATTTTTATGCTGACACCGACGCTAATAACTGATGCAATGTAAATTTACCTTTATGTTGTTTTATTCATAAATATGGTATTCATCTTTTGATAAACATAATTGATCAATTATTAGGTTTATCTAATTATCCGCTAACGTAGTATTAAATTTATCCTATTGAGTATATTTTTTTATAATGATAAGGACTAAATAGCTACACTAAGTTATTTTTCTGGACCTGATTTTAAAATGTATCGAAATTATAAATAAGCAGGAAGTTTACCAGTGATTGGGGACAACACTTGGACTTCGGTCCGACCAGTGCTTCTTCCTTGCAAGACGCGGCCCCGGAGTGACGCGATGCGTGGGTCTGATACACGCATCAGTGACAACACCAGTTCGGTCACCTTGAGCCAAGTACGCCGAGACACGAAGTATGACACGCGGCCAGAATCGTGATCTTTGGCAAGGAATCTTGCATAAACCTGAAATAAAATAATTATCAGGCATCCATTAAATAAAGTGTTTGGCTGTGAAGGATAAAATAAACAAAGCAATATCTAATACAGAAACAGGTTATAGACCTTGGTCCTCAAAAGTACATCTAATAAAAAGTTTAATGGGTAGAGCTATCATCCATCGGAATTTTCGTAATTTATCCTTTACTAGGATAACTACTTTGGCCATCACCGTGTGGGTCCTGGCATAGAATGGGCCACCTCTTCCTTTCCAGTGGGTATCGTAAGAAGCGGCTAAGGGAACTAAATGTTTGAGGGATGTACAACAGCATCGTCCATTTTAAAACATCACCAAAGTCTAACTGCTAACTGTGGTTACCAACTGGTGGTAGGATGGGTAGCAGCGTCCCTCTTAAAACATCTCCAAAGTTTAACCGCGGTTGCCAACCCGCCTCCCAAGCATTGCAACTATTGGCAAAATTTCCCTTCTGGGAAAGGCTTATACTCAGTAATGGACAGTTAATGGTTGACAATTATCATAATGATGATGATGATGATGATCGTACTTTGGAGGTCCAAAAGGCATTTAAAAATTAATTTAATAATAGTATTTCTTTTTCGAGATTTTTTAAGAAATATTACGAAAAAAGTACTCGATGTAGGTTAGGAAGTTTTTTTTAAGATATTACTTCCTTCTGTTAGGTACGAAGTCAGCTTCAATAGTAAAAAAAATGATCATTCAATTTATGGGTTAATTACTGTTTGTTAATATTGTTGTGAACTATCTTATAACAGCACATTTAAAACCTGTTGTTAACTTTTATAACAATAAAAAGAATATAGTTACATACTTAAATGTACACTCTTACCTCGACATTACTCTGCTGATACCGAAGCCGGCAGGTACGCTGATCCGTCAAAGAGTTGGTCCCGTCAGGTCTAGCGCCGCCCCAACCGCGCGCGGTCAGTGATCGCTTCAGCCTATCCTTTGAGTTCGACTCGTCTGATACTTTCCAACCTACGGAGAAGATATTATTGTAACATTACAAAAAAATCTTCATATAATAGGCAATACGGAGAGCTCACCCCGGCTTGCAATATTGGATTTCCTCATTGGATAGACATACCTAAAAATATATCAAATATTTTAAAGCTATGTATCCTTAAACTTGAATTAGCTTAGATTAGTACCATAAAAATAGAACATTAGCAAAAAAGAGATGACTTGTACCCGTTCTTGCATGACAGTCAACAAACTTCATTACAGATAATATTAATACCTTAGAATAATACTAATACGGTAAAGAAGCAGCTTCGACGTTGCTTTGTTAAGTATTTATAAATAAAATAATAAATACTTTTTCCTTTCAGGTTATCGAGGTTGACTGGAAGAAATACCTTTAAGGGATAAGTCAGCCTGTGTACATTTTGATATAACCTAATATCTATATTATAGGGGGGAAAGGGATTGTTAGTAATGGAGACTAAAAATCCCATCGCTAGCAATATACTCAATCAGGTCGACCTCCACGTGGTTCCCCCTGAAAACTTTCATGTTTAATTCCTGTTTTCATTCTCATCGATCACCCTTCACTGGTGCCCTGCCAGCGTATATCGTTAGCGCAGGCAGGGCTGCCATCCCATTTTAACCCGTCAAAAAAATCTATAAGTAAATGTACATGTAAATAAATAAATAAATTTTTGTGTATGGTGCAATGTCTCAAATTTAAAATAAAAATTCGAGAGTCCACACATTATTTGAAGAATGGCGTAATAACATATTGTTATGATTGCATCAATAAACGAGAACGACGGCCGTCTGGTATAATATATTTAAGCATTGATAAGGTTGAAATTATGTGTGGGCGAAAGCGTTGATACGAACAGCTCCATTCATAATAGGCACCTATGTAGTATCGCACCCAGATTAAGTACTTAATATAAACCTTTACATAATATTATAATAATATAGCATTTGAGTATTTTGCGCTGAATAATCTGAATAATTAATTATAAAGAAACGACCGGTGAATATCGCAGGTTCGCACGATTGTTTAATTTTATTCATTTGGGTTTATACTTATAATATTTCATATGTAATATCTATACATATTTTTTTACATACAGGTTTTTCCAAGAAACTACAGCATGGGATTCTTCAAAAAAGGGGTAAAGAGATTTCTTAAGGTTTGACAACGCGCGCATAATGCCCCTGGTATTACAGGCGTTCATAGGCTACGGTAACCGCTTACTATCAGGTGGGCCATAATGCTTATTTGCTATCTAAGTGGTATAAAAAAAAACATTATTTTACTTATGTGCGTAACGACTGGGTCAGCATTAACATAATTATCAAGTGTGCGTGTTAATTATTAACTTTGCACCTACTCTAATTTTCCAAAAAATAACACCATATTCAGGACATTGTTAGTAATGGGGATTAGTGTATCCATGACTAGCGATATATTATTTCAATTAACCTCTACGCGAAGCCCCCTGGGATTTGGATTCTTAGAAATCTCAATTTCAGGTGAAATAATCAAAATGATCCAGAAATCTGATTTTATCCTCGTCTATCATCACTCACTAAAATCCTGCCAATGTATACTGATTGCGCAGGCAGAATTACCATTCTATTTTTATCTCATTAAAAATACAAAAAATCGAACATACAACCGCCTCTTTTTTGAAGTAGGTTAAAAAAACATTAAGTGCAAACCCGCTCTGTGAATGGTTTAGGCAGATTATACTGCGTTAACAGAATTATTTAACACGCCTTTTTTCGCGAGAACTGTGACTTCATACAAGTTTAACCGGTTTTTCACACAATTTTGTGTTACAGAATAAAATTTACGGTGTGGATTTAAATTCATTATTTAAATACACTGCGAACGTTAACTTACCTTTGATCTGCGATAATCGATTATCGTCCACGTCAATTTCTAATGGATTCTCCGGCATCCACACAGTGAAGCGAGCTAAGCCAGTGTAAGTGCCGTATTTGACAATCACCGAGGCATTCGACGAGCCTCGTATCTCGGATCCATCCACATAAACTGAACTGCATGATGATGATACCTAGGTAATAGTATAGCTCATATTATATACCATTTTATAAAAATTACTGTAATATACGTAATATTAGGTTATATAGATTTATAAATACCAGTGGGAGAAAAATACAAAATTCGTCTGTTTAAGTACTTCTGTCCCACTCATGTATCAGCCGCTAAACAGCTTTATTTTAATGCTTATATTTTCATTTTCATTGGCCTAGCCATATCTCTATGTGCCCATATATTTACAAATTAAACTTATTTGGTCGTTATTGAGCGCATTAGCTACGCAGACAACTTTGTGCGAAGTTTGTTTCTGGTACATTAGTCGTAATTATTAAACACAAAATTTGCATTATTTTAAGGCTTGTTACAATTTTTTTTAAATTAAAAATAAATGCGCGCTTTCGAAGATATATACATGGAAAACTTATAACTTTATAATACGAAGGTGTTGTAAATGTCGAGTGCCATAATAAATATGCGTACTTATGTACTTGAGTATCGTCACTTACCTTCAATACGCTCTCGTCTTCAGAGTGGCAGGAGCTCTGTAGTGTAACATCAGCTACTTGACCCGCTTGGGACACTATCAGCACTTTCATAGCCTGTGACACTTGCCGCCCGGTCAACACTGCCGTGTTTAATACCTCCCAATTCTGTTCAAATTTAAAGACAAAAAAAATATTTAGGCGACAAAAAATCTTTTGAAAATTACATGCTTTTGGAATGAAGACCTAATTTAGCTATACGTAGGTAATATCTGGTACTAATCTACCAGTAATTAATTAAATGGCAATAATTACGATCCAAGTAGAAAATCCGTCCACGTTACTATAGTGGTATAACTTAATAATCGCGTTCGATTTTTAGATCACACTAACTTTTGTATTCATGAGATCCTGTGTTTATTTCTATCAGCCTGGAAATTTCTTTTGTGTATTATATATTACATATTTACAAAAAATATAAACACGTTAAGGGAACTTTTTTCAATTAATCGTCCCGTTGGTAGTCCTATCATGAACTATACATGGTAAACAGATAATGTTGTGTGTGTTAGAACAATCTTATGAAATTAAACAAATTTTCTTCAAAAGTTATTAGTGTTAGAATGGCAAACAAGTGTTGGAAAGAAATTAAACATGAGCAAATGGTTATAATAGAGTATATTATTTCCCATGATCCCCCATGCCTATTCCTTCTCTGTAAAATTCCTGATCCCATTCAAACCGAATGCGAACACAACTGCTTCACGGTAGAAACATGAATGGGACAAAGGTGCCCAAGCAAACAACTTTTGTACAAAGTCTCCCTGTGGTAAATTATACCTATTAAATTGTACTAATTTTGTTTTCTTATATTATTATGCTCGTATCTACATTCACCTAGTTTTTCTCGTTTCTAATATTCTTATCCGTCTTAATAACGATGATTTAAAATTTAATAATACGATGACAGTTAAGAGTTATAGTTGGTATAACAAAAAATTTAAATTTAAATGAAATAAAATCTAATTATGACCATTTGTTAAAACTAATACACACCTAGAACATGGCGGACCGGCATAAACGTAGCGGGAAGCGGTTGAGATGCTCTTTGTGTGACACTACTACTACGAGACTGTCTTGTTGTTACTCTATAAATTTTATTATAATATGTCTTTTTAAGTAAAACTAAAACCGATAAATATAACTAGAACTGCACCAACCAGTGTATTTATTAATGTTGTATCAAACACCATTACCGCTGTAATGGAACGTACCGATTTGTGCTTAAGTATCATTAAGATAGAACTTTCACTATTAACTGAAACAACAATGATGCTTCAAATTCTCCAACTAATTACGAACATACTATTCTACATATTAATAGAGCGGTTTACACTTCATTAGTCAAGCCGGTTTAATTATTTTGCAGAGTCAAGGGGCAGATAAGCAGTATTCATCCGTCAGTCAGCGATATGAAGAGGTTTAAGGTCGATAGAGCGTCCAGCCATGCTCTCTTAATAGGTCTACTAATGATTGATAAATCAATTATTATTTGCAGGGTGTAACAGAAAGGATATTAGGGTATATCTAATAATCTCAAATCCAGTGATAGCATTAAATAAACTGAACTATTTACTTCAAAAAATATAGGTAGGAATATGAAAATATTTTTTGAAGATATTTTGCTTTAAAAGTATTCTATACAAGCAGCTCTGTAAGGTAGATATTAATGTTGATACTGGTAATTAATGGTATTTACAATTCATCAAGTATCATTCAAGTGAGAACACTTGTATTACTTCTACAGGTTTTTATTTGAATATTTATATTCTTAGATTATATATCAAAGACATATATATATATATATATATATATATATATATATATATATATATATATATATATATATATATATATATACTGAGTTCTGTAAATGCATCTTTATACAAAACAAAGACGTAATATTTGTAAGAGAATGATGGATCATTTATCGGTTTTTCCTTCCTTTCAGAAAGTAGCAGTTTCATGAATATAAGACGTAGCTGGCTTTTAATTCTTGATTAGAGATATATCATTATTTTATATATACAAATCTCGTGATATTCACGTACCTTCAAATTGTTTACTGTAGATGGCAAAACAACGCTTGTCAGGGATTGCTAGTATTAGGTCCCACAGTATTTAAAACATGCCCTCGACAAGTGGCAAACGAATCCATTAATGGGATCATGAGTTATGGGTTCGAATGAGTTAATGATGTTCGATCTCTCATTCAATCTCATAGACTCACTTGCGGTAACGACTCCATCGATGGATTCGTTTGGCAGTTTCTAGAAGGTCTATATTGCTATAGGCTTCGGTTTAATCAGTCTTCTTAATATATTACCTTGGCAACTGTTGTTGAAAAAACTGACATAAATTGTCCATATAAGCGCATTTTAATACAAAACAATCACGTTACCATGTTGTTTGTAAGAGAATGATGGATTATTTACTGATTTTTCGAGCGTCCTTAGGCAAAGTTACAGTTTCGTGGATGTTGGATACAGCAGGATATTGGATTGATATGAACGTTCCATTATTTTTTATATAAATATATGAATTAATTTTACTTTAAACGTGATGAAATGGTACTAAGCTTAATTTTATTTAAATAGTTGTAATCTGTTTATTACACTGTGTTCATTATTAATCGAGTTAGTCTACACAAGGCGTACGCCCAATTAAATTTTGTGGGCTTCGTTAAGCTAACTTGCTTGTCTATCACTTACGTCGAACGTTCGGTAAGCAATAGCTGAAACTATTGTTACGTTATCGGTACGTTCATTATGAAGGTATGAATATATCTCAGAATTTATTATTTGCGATGGACGATATATATATATACTACGCGACATATTAAACTGTTCCATTTACGTCTTATTGCAGTTATATGAATATTCATTGCCTTTCTAACTATATTATATTTGACACAGTTCGTCCACTTCTTTCTAGAACTTCTTTCTGTCCTTACGATATATTCATAGTTGATGATATGGTAAATATAAGCATCTAAAGTATAAATTGAAACATTAAACCTATTATGTAAATAATTTATAGTAGTTAAATATTGTCTTTTTGTAAAGACTTCTTATATAAGGAAATATTCTTGGAAAATATTAAAGTGTATTGTAAAAATATTCAAAATTCATCGACACGAGGCCGTGGCAACAGCCGTGGGCGGGTACCTCTCAGGCGCCATTAGCTCGCGATAAAGCTCTCATTATACACCACTTCATTTATACTAAAGAGTGCACCATTACACGTTAGCCACTTCATTTTACTTTCACATAGTCTCTACGCATACGGATAGTGAGGTAAAATGATGTCCCATACTATTTCTCAATTAATTTTTAATTAAAACGTTTTATTTTACGGTTATATAGTTGCTACACTTTAGCGCTATCCATTATCATAAAAACCTTTGAAACTCGATAAAGATATCATTGTAGTAATAAAAGGAGCCCCCTTGGTTCCATTAATTGCCGAGAAAATACCTTTTGGTTAATTTATCGCCACAATCGATGTCTCTATAAATTGTTGATTTCGGGCACCTGCTACGATAATAACGACCGAATAATTGAGTGGAGAACTGAGATTGTAATCATCTTTCACATTTATTTAAGAGTAAAACATGTCTGTGTCCTGTTTAGATGTTGTTACTTTTATTGTAATTATTTTACCTAGATACGTTCTATTATATGGTAAATGAATTAAATAAAAATGGAAGACTTTGTGGTCCTAGATTCAACCCACAAGTTGAAAAATCAGTTATCAATATAAAAAAATCTTGGTAGATAGATCACACTTAAAAAGCAATTAGGTACCCACGTATAAATATATTTGATAAGCACGGACGATTAAATGCTCGAAAAAACTGAGATAAAACATAATACTCGACAGAAGAATTGTCACATTTATTTCTTCAAGCATTCGCTTTGAAAGCTCGTCTAATCCAATATGTAACTGAATTAATTAAATGATCTAACTAAAGTATTAGAATAAACGAAAGATATTATTATAATACCTTATTAAAAGAATTATATCTCAATATCAAATTAATGGCACTCACCTTGGAAATAGGTAGTACTGCTTGAATGTCATCCTTTTCAATGTCAAGTCGTGTATTAACTCTGTGTTCATGAGGTGGATCTTCAGTGGTGGACATTGAGGTAGAAGCAGACGATACTCTAGCAGACCAGCTAAGACGAGCGGTGCCACGACCAGATTCACCCTCTGAACCCTCAGTATCACCTTCTCCTTCAGCCCCAACTTCCACCAACCAGGTGAGAACCTCTTCCCATCCAGGCCCTCCAGCGCCACTGGTCTCTTCCATATCACTATATAAGAATCACAAGTTAATAGATATAATTAATGGATTTAATGAAATATTTTATTAGGTTCGCAAATATTTTGTTAAATAAAATAAGCACAAGATATTCACAAATGTATTTACATCGTAAGTATTTACAAATTTTATATATTAAATAGATTATTAATTATTCTAAGAAACAACCTACGTTTAAATACTAGTTTTTTATATAAAACTCACGTTTTTTCTAATTTGACTAACCCGTAACAATAAACCACCTGTTAAATAACTATTTAGATAATAGTAGATCCATGAATATCCGTGAGTAACTCATTTGTTAATTTAAGTGTATCATAAATGGCTCAAATGAAGTGTTTATCTATCTATCTTAAAAGTTTAAGTTCTAATTGTTGTGATTTAAAAATTATAGACATTCTGTTTCAAGTATAGTTTATGTTACTAAATTAAATCTATAATTATTATTATACTGTTAATAAAATCATCATAATCATCATCATATTAACCGTCTACTGTTCACTGCTGAACAATGGCTTGTAGTTGCTTTGGTAATGTTTTAAGAGGAACTCTGCTATTTTACTCTCGACCGTTAAGTTTCCTTAGTCGCCTCTTACAACGCCCTCAAGAAAGGAAGAGATGGCCTATTCTATGCCGAGACCACACGGCAAAATTAATAAAATATAATAGATAAATAGTTTTTTAATCGTTCCGTATAAAAGTTATACAGATATGGAATATAGCTATAAAATAAATTGAAAAAATAAAAATCTATAAATTTTCTCATACGTAGGTGACTTCAAATTTCGACAGTAAGATTCTGAGTGTTAGTGTCTGTATTTTTATTTTTGCATGATAATTAGAATGGCAAACGAGTAGACGGCCGACCTGATAAAAAGTGATAACCGTTGCTTATAGATACATATGAACAGCATCATGAACATTACAGGATAATTATGTGTGTGTGTGTGTGTGTGTGTGTGTGTCTGCGTATATGTTTGTACAATTTACTCGTATGTATTAAAATATCTCAAGTAATAAAGTTTAATTTTAACAGTCTTTTATCATTTGATACTTTGATTTCCCAACTGAATCGTACTGTTGTACAAGCTGACCCACTTACGTTAATAGTGTCGCGGAATGAATCGAAAAACTCGAAAGCGAGCGTTGAGAAAATAAAAATGGAATAAATCCTATAAGCCCGGTTGCATCGCCGTATTGGATTACCCGGATGCAACGTCACAAACACCGTATTGCAATCTCATTTCTATTTCGTACCTCGTTTATTATCAATGGTAAACAAAAACTTCCGTTAAGTAAACAAACAGGGCCGATGAACCTCACGTACGTGGTCCCATAAGGAAGTCATGTCTTTTGACACGTGTCTACTTAAACAGCAGATATTATGTAAATTATAAAATAACAATGTAATATTTAAAAAAATACACGGAAAAACGGTAAAACCAAGCTTTTATGAGTAGGTTTTGTGATTACATTCAGGCGCCTATAAGAATACCTCATGGAGATACATTGTAAACTTATCATTTTTATTAATTTTTACAAATCCGATAAACTTTTTAGATACACATTTTTTTTTACAGTTGTGTCACATTATAGTATATAATTTTTTTGTTTATCTTAATCTCTTTAGTTATTAGTTTAATTATTTCCCCATATTTAGTCATATTTATCTTCCAGCAGCTTGCACCACACTACGATTTCAAACTTAGTGGCTCTACGTTAGCTGTAGCGGAAATCCTATTTTCCAACGTTATCAGCTTAGTACTTGAATACCACAATTGTCCAATGTCATTGAGGTTGAATGCATTTTTAGAGTCAGATATCAAAATCTAGTTCAAACTTACAAATGATGTTAAAAAGAACTTCTACCAAACTAAAATATGAGCATTATAAACTAGTGATTATTTCTAGGGCGTTTTGTCGTCAAAAGTCTACTAGCAAAATGACCCTTTAAGTTGGCAGTTTTCCCGCTCGTTAACTGGAGTTCCAGCTTGAACTAGTTTAAATTGTGATACTCACGTGTCGAGTCCATCGTCATCTCGCAAGGGCTGCTCGAGTCGGGTCGCGGTTACTGTGGCGGCGCGAGGCTTCACTTCAGCGGTGACGGCCCATCGAGAGTTCGCCGCAGTTACGCTCACTAGTCTGAGTCCTGATTTCACCTTCATTCTATCAAAAAGATAATAAATACGTTAAGGAGAAAGATTAATCTAAATTATAAATAGTGTAATAATAAATCTGCATTATATATAAGTGTAACGGAGTATGTTTAATAATTACAAAAAGAGCAACATATTAGTGAAACTAAACATACTAAAGAACTTGGAACGAAATACGTAGAAAAATAAGTTCGGAAAAGCGATCGCACGGGGACCGCCATATTTTAGGGTCCATGCATATTTTTTTTAAATTGTTGTTAATGCAATGGCACCGTTTGACAAATAGCATGAGTACGGTAATTTGACAAAATTTAGATCCTAAGTTTGTAAGAATAAATAGTGCTATACGATATTTATATACTAACATAAAATGAAGAGTAAAATTAGAAGTTAGTGCACTACATAGGTTCCTAATGGCCGGTACAATAATGTTCTCTGTGTCTTGTAGGCTATCCAAAGTGGTTATAAATTTCCATTTAGGCACACATTACATTAGCTACAATACAACGTTATTCCCGCGCCGCCCTCGCTGCTCGTATTTCAAAGTACTGATACAGTATAAACTTTAGAAGCAGGTGGCGTACATATAGAACGTGGGAAAATGCGCTTTACATAAGCGTGAATCTCGGGAACCTTTCCGTATTTTACTCACTGAATATAATATTCTAGGCTCTGAGCCATATAAAGCAAGAATTAAGTATATGAAATACAAAACATTATGCTGTACAAAAGTATCAAAGCAGAAATATAAGATTATTCTAGAAGATATAGAATAGAGCTAAACCGTTACTACTCTAAGGATATTTCTTTATAACTGTAATAGCAACGATCAATAGATCAACAAGAATTAGAACTGATAAATTCATATTAAAACAGTTTAATTTCACTACAATTTTACAAATATCTACATATATAACCTATAATGATATTAGTATCTTAGATCTTAGAATTGAAATCGACGTTTAAACAATCGGAACAAAAGAGTATTATCAATTATCGGTAGGATACAAGATTTTCTTTACAAAATATATAAATATAAGCTTTTACGGAAAAAGTTTTAATTGGAACTTGGAGGCCGACAGTAGCTAGCTCTATGGATTTAACCACAATGTGGCACACTTTTGTATTAAAGGAAAAAAGTATTTTATTTAAGAGTTATTATCATGTATACTTTTATACAATTTTTGTCTATGGAAAATATTGCTAGAACTACAAGCACGGTCAATATACTGCCCCTATAAAATACCCGTTCTGAAGTGCCTATTTGCGTTAGTTTACATGCAATAAACCTGTTCACTTGGGTGGAATAGTGAGTACAAGTACATCTGATATAATACAAGAATAAAACTTGTTTTGTCATCGTCAACATGAAGGGCCTCATAGAGTGAAAATATATTGAAATGTGTGGGTACAATAAACACATTGTTAGGTCAATAGGTATAGTCCCTGGGAGGTAACACAATATGACTCGTTAGATTCACTTACAATAAACATTGGAATGTCACACAACTTAGAATTTATTTAATAAATTATTGGTGTTACTAGTACTAATAGATTCTGTTATATGCGTAACGTCAATAAGACGTAATATTCGGCTGTGTGTAAGTAAAATCAGTTTCATATATTAAATGCAACGACAAGTAATTTTTGTTATCATATAAATGAACAGTATTCTCTATTCATACAATAATATTAAAAGTGATACAAACCTGATAATAACATGCCCAATATTATGGTTGGAGTCTCGGCGAACTACGAATGGCAAATGTAATCTTGAATGTGGATACAAGGATGCTCGGGGGAGTAAAAGAGCTGCATCTCCTGCTCTTGCTTCTCGATATCCTGCCCGAGCACCAGCTAACGTAACAAAACCCAACGGCCAAGCTGGCTGTACAGAAACACGTCCACAAGCCCCATCTCCATTGTCACTACTACTAGCTTCAGCAGCACTATAAGCTAACCTAACAGTTCGAGGTGGTCGTTTGCCCTTTCCATCGGCAGGCCACCAGGCCGCTGGTACAGTTAACTCTGCTAAACAGGCACCCTCCTCTCCCTCTGGTCCACATGTAGCCGTCAATGACCTCGATCCAAGACTAGCATGTAATGTTATGCAGACCCGTCTAGGGCGCGCTGCTGCTCGTCGAGCGCCCCCTTCACCACCAGTATGAAACAATACCCTTAGAACTGGGGAATCTCGTGGCAACTCTCGGAATACAAGATGTGCTGACACATCGAGTCTATGTGCTGTTGCATCTTGTAATTCTAATAATGTTGCATTCCGCCTGGGAGGCTCTAAGGGGTCTGGTACAGCGTATCTGGCAGGTACAGTTTGTTTCGTTGAAAACGGTCCATACGTGGCTCGAACTGAAGCTGGTGATGAACCTTGCAGGACTGTAAACCGGTCAAGGGATAATAATGCGCCAGGTAATGCGGTTCCCATAGGCTCGGGCGGTGGTCCAGCGCCACTCCATCTTGCTGTGTGCTTCAAGAAGAATCCGCTGTCTTTGTTTTCAAAATGAACTTCAACAGCTAGCACCGTCCCTGGGAAAAAAGAAATAATATTAAGCGAAAATGATGCGAAATAAATTTACCTTATTTATCAAGAGTGCACCTATAGCATGTGTGAAATGTTAAATGTTTTATTTTGGCATTTGACGAAAGATAAAAGGACGCCCAAACTAAAATTTGGCTCGGTTCCAATTCCGACTGCATTTTATGCAATGAAGTGGGCTGTCAGTTCGGTTCACTTGATGTTTACAAACAACCCTGCATTTTTGAACTGAACTATTTGTGTACCCGATCGATGACTTCATCGAACTTTTGTATAAAGATATACTTACTAATGTAATATATTGCTCAACAACTTAAGACAATAATTATTTACCTAAAATACATAAACATAAAGAGAAAGTTCAATAACAATGTAAATATTTTTTTTTGTAATTTTAACCTATTTTATTACCACTCGGTACAGCATAAAAAAATTCAGTGCATGAGCTTCATAAAAATATAGGGCATATCCATATGTGGTGTTTTTCACTATTTATTACTAACGAAAATGTGAGTATTATCAAAGAGTACGGTGTTAATCAAATTAGGAGACATGTAAATTCTTTTTTGTTTCTATTTCTTGACAGATGGTCGCGACTCACGCGTTACGCTCACTACGGTTCGGTGCGACACGTCACTCATCTCATATTGAACCGGGATTTGTGTCACGTCCAACTGTAGGAAAACTTCGCGGAATTCATAACACCTACTTGTATTTTATGAATCTCGGTGTTCTCCATGTTGTTACTTTCACTCACACTCCTTCCTTAACATTAAGATAATTTCTTTGTTTTTAAAAATAATATTTTTTGTATACGGAGCCTACAGCATAGGTTTTCAACAGATTTAAAAAAGAAGGAGGTTCTCAATTATATTCGGTTATATTTTTTTATGTTTCATCATCAGCCGTTATCCGTTTGCTGAACATAGGCCATAGCCATAAGGAATGGTCTGAGCCACCTGCATCCACAGATTCCCTGAATGTATTTGAGGTCGTCACTATGCCCATATGGGATCGCCACTCAAGAACCTTTCTTCTCCATCGGATGTCGGTTCTTTGAGCTATGTAATGTGTAGTGTGGCAATGGACTAGTTGCCCATTGCCACTTCAACTTGCTTATTTTTCGGGCTATGTTGATCACTGTTGTTCTTTTGCGGATATCCTCATTTCGAATTCTATCACGCAAAAAACACCGAGACTTTTTTATCTTTGTAACCTCATATTCCATCAATTTGTAAAACGATTTAAAAATCCTTTTTTTGAGAATATATTTACGTATTCGTGCCATAAAAAAATTATCAAAATCGGTTTAGTAGTTTAGTCATAAAATCAAAATAACTGGTTATACTCCAATTTAAGTCGGTTTTATTTGTGGAATAAAATCTTAACAATGTAGGTTATATAAGATCTCTTCAATAGGTAATGAACTTGTCTGGGTATTGCCCTAGCGATCAATAGTAATATCTTTCGATTGACTTTATATTGATTGTGTACTAAATCGGTTTGTTTGCTAGTTTAAAGGCATAAGTTGGTAGATTAAAATAATATTCACATAATTAGTGTTTTTAAAGAATTAATCAAGAAATTTTGTAATCTAAAGGAATATTAGTAATTGAGAAAATATTCGGAAGTGATCAAGTAACTGTAGGGTCTATATGAAAGATATATTTTTGTTTATATTTTAGGAAAATTATTTAGTTTAGTAATAGTTACACTATCTGTTACACTCTGTATAATGATTACATAATATAAAGTTCTAATATAAAAATAGAAATAAGAGAAGAGGAATGAGATATTATGAGAAATACTCTACTACGTAGATACTGAACATGAAAACAAACTATAGGTATATCATCTCCTATGCAGAAAGCACATTTAACATCAGAAAAGTCTTAGTTGATAAAAGTTCCGCTAAGTACAGGTACAGTTAAGGAAACTTACTACAACTTTGCGTAGCTTGTACCAACTGTGACACAGCCGAGGTAGTTAGGAACGAATTTCCTGTTCAGGGTATGGAGTTATTGCTTCATTTGCAAGGAAACGGCACCGCTCCGCCAACACGCGGCACATAACCCCGTGAGTGTGGGAAGATAATAAAAGGCTTTAGCACGTGACGCTTTTAGAACAAAGAAAAATTCACAGCGTTTTCAGTTTTCTATCCTTTTTCGTATAAGTTAAAATAGATATTCAAACTAGGTATAATATAATATTAATTTTTAATGCTTAGTTCACTTTCTAAGAACATAATAATCCTTGGTGGTATAGCGGTTTAACACGCTGCACTGTCTTATTTTCCAAAGGTTGCCCCGAAGGAACCCCATACAATACAAGTAGGTATGTTATGAATACATTTATTTGTATAAGTTTTTGTGTTTTCTACGTATTCAATGTAAGTATTTACAATTTATTCATATATATTATTTATTCATAATATGTTGTCTGGTACACATCTTTGCTTATTTAATGTTAGTTGGCATTCTGTAATATGTCCAATTTATTTACTTAAACTACTGAAATCTAAGCGTATATTAATTATTCGTTAAATAAATGTACTATATTTCTCGCTACATTACTGATTATAAGGATGCTACATTTCACAACAACGTCAAAATTAATATGTTATTATAGGAAGCATATTTTCCTGTTTTCCCATCCATTGCTCCAATGAACAGTGCTATTGAAAACGTGACTCCGCGTGCTTGATAGATGGCTTTTGTTACAGAAAATATTAATAATTCAATTTTATAATAAAGATAAATGAAATTTATGGACGGTGTATGTAGATTTTAAATATGCCAAATTATTTCATTTATACAAATATATTTTATACGAGTTGCAAGGCTAACTCTAAATAAAATGTTGCTGTCTCTTATAGATCAACTGTGAAATACAAACCAGTTATAAAAATCGAATCGTCTACACGCAGTTTATGGATGTAATTAAAATCCTTTATTAAGAATCCAAGGAAAATAAATATAACTACTTTACACATAAATTTCAGAAGGGTACTTTAAATAACATCCAAACATTGCTCCCAAGAGTAAATACCCTTATTTGCAATATAATTTATTTATTCTTTTCCTATTAGTGAACATAATTAGTTGTTCTCTTCCTTGTTTATTTAGGATTCTGTTTTTATTAATATGTACATGAACGAGATAACGAGTGCAAGAAATTAATTGTATTAAATATGTCTATGTATAACGATCTAGGTATATATATGAGTCAGAATATGTTTGTATTATTTTTTTCTGTTTATTCAAATTCGCTTGGGTATATAGGACATGCATACCAATCTGGCCAGTCGGTTTGTTATAGGGTTTTATCAGACATTATCTTTCTACTGCATAAATATTTTTTTTCGAATATTTAGTAGAGTTTTCTGATAGCCCGATGAAAAAAACTGGAAATATAACATTCTATTCTTATTCTACAACCAGGTGAAATATATAAAGATTGCAAAAGTGAGAAGTGGTTTGTGTTTGAGTATTGCTCTCCATAAGTAGAAATAGCTATCTATTATCTCCCAGATAACTGATATAATGTCTGATACAAAGGGCGAACAACTTTAATAAGTCTTAACTTATTATAAATATTATAAATGGTCTCCACGGGCGGAACTGTATATTCTGTCCAGCACCTACTCAGATAGGCGCTAAGTAAGTATCAGGTCGGTTTGTATTTTCTATAAGTAAAAAAGCTTTAATTTTTAAATATCAAGTAATTCAAATTTTTAAAGCTATTTTTACAATTTGAATTACTGATAAGGTATATCTACTCATTTAACTCCTAGTAATTACGTACCATACCATACCATCCTTACCGTAGATATTCAACTGGCAATAACCTAAATTTCTGTACAAATAGTCTATCTTAGGTAAAAACAAAACTGAGAATATATAATATTACCGCAGTGCACTATATTTAACTTATGAGTGTAAACAGTCAATAACATTTTTTTTAAATCTGGTGACATTTTTAGAATTCTGCTAACAGTGAGTCAATCATGAAAGTGACGCGTTAATAAGGATAGATAATGAGAAAACACAAGTAGTATACGAGATGTCATTCGGTTTAGTTGGATATACCGAAAAGATGAGCTTATGAAGACAAGAGTAATATAATTAAGGGCAATAACTGTATTGGAAAGTACTCAAACGTCATAACAGCGGTAACAGAGTTATGAATGGTCAAATATTTAGATATTCATTTAATGGAGTCGGAACATAATCGCTTTCACTTTATAATCGAAACACTGATGATTTATTGATCACTAAGTATTCATACGCTTATGCGTTCATTAATTTGATGTGTGATTCAAGTCTCCATTTAAGCTAAGCAATCTGGCTGGAGAAATTGACAATTGATTGGCACAACTATTAAACAATGAAATGAAGTTCTATTATTTATCTAAAAACTGAATATTGTAATAATTCATTTATATATCTCTTAACAGCAAAAACTTCATAAATAATGAAGAAGCCAATGAGAACGTATTGGAAAACGAATGTAGTATAAAATAGGCAGTACAAAATAATATTACCTGGCTGACAACGCACCGTAAGTCGATGCGACTATGATTTTAACCAGAACCGCAAAATTTTACAAAAAAATATTTTGTAATATAAATAAGTATTAAGAAGAAATTTTCGTGAAATTTCTACGGGAATAGACAATAATGGTTCAGTGCAACCAAACCCACTGACTAGGTTTAATGAATTTAAAATTTAGAATAGTGAATGTAAGTTACTAATACAAAGTTCAGATTTAAATCAATGCAAACAGTCTAAGTATTTTAATTGAATAATTTTTTTTTTAATGGATGACAAGGGAATTTTGACCCTGCCTGGGCTAACGTTATACGCTGGCAGAGCACCAGTAAGGGATGATAGGTGAGATGAAAAGGCAGGTCAATTAGCCCATTCGTGATGAATACACCAGGAATTCAGCACAATGGTTTCCAGGGAGGACCACATGTAGGTCAACCTGA